CAGTTATGTATATTTTGTCTCTAAGCGTCGTATTAAAAGGGATATTAATACAAGATATGAAGGAAATTGGCACTAATCAACAGCAGACATCCCTAAAAATAAATGGATGAGTCTGTTCTGTAGCGTGAGCTACTATTGGCGCTCTACATGGAAATCTATGAGTCATGCAGTTCAGTTGTTGCAACATGAATATCTATCCAGAATCATTGTTGATCAAGTTGTCAGGCGGGCACAGGGGTCGTGGGCCGACGTGCGCTGAATTGCCGAAACCCAGTACTGAACAGCCCACGAGTAGAATCGCTGTGGCATGCTGGATGGATCGCGGGCACCAGTGAACGGGATCCTCACTAATTGCAAAATGGCACAGTGTATGGACGACAAACACAACCGACTAACGACTTGATTTCAAGTCTATTTACAATCAGGAAGTTGGGTAAAATCTTTCTGACAGGATTAACTAAAACTTAACAGATGAAATTTATTTTGTTGTTCGACTCTTTTTCTTTATGGATTTCTTTTTGCATTTTTTAAGTGAAGAAAAACTCATTGATCTCCTTGTCCCATTGACAAAATTGTTATTTTTGCTGTTACTTGGCTGCTTTGTCATCGTTGGTTACATCACACTGCCGGAAAAACTGGACTTTGCAAGGACTTGCCTCAAAAGTCAGACTTAGTTCAAGATCTGCACCACCTTTAGCTAGTTCATACTGGCTCAAGGAAAGAACGCTAATCAAGGTATATAAATACGTCGTGATAGCCCTGTGACTTCGTTTCACTAGTGGCCGATGTCATTTAATCCACAAAATTTCACATCCTAGACTAGAAGAAAAAATATTATAACGATAATATTATAATGATGAATGTCAACCTTCTCTAGTATGTAATTACCCATAATCTTGCAGTTTAAATTTCAAGGGATTTTTCATAGTGTATTCACTTTAACCATAATAATCAAACAGAACACTAAGGATTTGACTATTAATAAGGTGTTATCCAACAGTTTAAAAAGCAATTCTACAAAAATGTCATTCGACCACAGTTAGAATATGCAGCCACAGTTTGAGATCCTCCTCGGTCAAACCACATCAACGAATTGGAAAAGCTGCAGCGGTTGGCGGCAAGATGTGGAACAGGTGACTACCAAAGACATCAGGCGTAAAAGACATGCAGCAAATTTTCAGTGGTCAACCCTCTAATACTGTCGTCAGTGCTCTATCGTTCCATCCAT